AGGTCGAATTCAGACCCAACAACTTTAATTCCAACAATTTTGTCTCACACATGTTTATACGGTCCTAGTTATTGCATTTTCCACTTACTTTGGCCTGGAAGTCCATTCCCAAAACCGCCCCGCGCTCCCAGCTGGTTGCATCCTGAGCACATCTGACTCGTGAAACGCCTATAGTAGTCTAGCAATACGCTCACTGCCTGAAAAGATCATGTGAGGCTGTCAATGTACTTATTTCAGACACAGAGCCAGGTTATGCATGGCGTACTAGCGCCTGCTTGAGCACTCCCCTAACTGACAGTTCGACCATCGGTTTCGATGATGTCCACCGTGTGCCCCGCAGCTGCAGTAGCAGTGGGAGCAGGGACGGTGACTTACGCAGGGGTTTATAGTGCCAGTAGACTTGCGTAGCATCTACCTACACTCTCTCCTCCTCCCTCGCCCGATCCCGGTGTCAAGACAAAGTCCAGAAGACCGAAGACGAGGGAGGCCGCAGGTGGATGGCTCGGACGGATCCTCACCTTGGCGTTCCACCACACCCCCTGGTCCACCCAACAATAACCAGGATTTCAACCAACAACAGAGATTTAGAGGCTGGCACGACCGAAGTCGCACCTAGGCGTACCGCTAACGTCTGGCTCGGATCCCACACTGTGTCGGGAGTGCCATAAAGGCCACATTAAAAAGGAGCCATTGCAGCCTGACTCTCAGACCGCCTCCCGTTAAGGAGGAGGTCCAAGTTACCCCGTCAGTTGGCAACCTTCCAAGCCACGGCTTTTAGCGCACCGTGATAGCTTCAAGCGCGTCAGATTGTTTATAGTGAGGAGAAAGTGCGCTGAGTCGTCGACCTCACTCTCCCTTCCCACACCCCAGCCGCTGTCCGAGCCGGTCAGCAGACTGGAGTGGGGAGTGAGCGCGGTGGCTATCATGGTCGACTAACCATGACTGCGCGCGCCACGGCACGACCTGGCCCCCCATACACACAACACCAGGATTTCACACAAGGGAGGTTGAACGGCGTGTCTCTCACTTGCGTGAGAGGGCCGTGGAAAGTGCAGCTTCAGCCCGTCCCCAGCCCACCAGTCCGCCACTCCACACAACACACACACACACAACGCGACGAACTGCGTGAGCCGAGAGCGGGCGTCAATCAGCAACCTTCCTATCCACGACGCTTGACGTGTCGGGATAGTCTCGGACTCAAGTCACCCGTGCAGCCGAAGCCGCATGGGGACCGAGTCGAGATGCACACTTCCCACTTGCGTGGGAGGTGGCAGTTGGGTGCGTGTTGATGTGTGGTGGTGATGGTGGAGGAAGGTAGGGAGCGTGTGGATGTGTGGTGTAACCGGCGGTTGTCTACCGCAGGTCATCGTGGATGCGCATATGTCCGAATAGGCCCATGCGATGCCTGAAAGTGCGAGGGCAGTGTGAGCAGTTGAGACGAGCTTGGTGGGTGTAGGTTGGTGCTCCAGGCACTGGTTCGCCAGTCTCTGTGCGATGGATTCGCAAGTGACCGACCAGACCGATGCGTGAGGTGAACGTGCGTGGGCAGTGTGGGCATGAGAGGTCGACGTTGTCGGTGTCAGCTGTAGAGGAAGCGGTGGTGGTGGTGGTGGGGGTGGTGATGGGCGCGGGTGGCGATGGAGCGAGGGTGGTGCTGGGCCTGGTGGGTGTGTTGGATGTGATGGGTGTGTCAGAATTGTGGTCGATTCCGCTCTCGTGAATGCGCATGTGGCCGAATAGACCCATGCGATGCGTGAAAGTGCGAGGGCAGTGTGGGCAGTGGAGGCGAGTGCGGTGCGTGTAGGTTGGTGCTCCAGGCACTGGCTCGCCAGTCACTGTGCGATGGATTCGCAAGTGACCGACCAGGCCGATGCGTGAGGTGAAGGTGCGGTCGCAGTGAGGGTAGGTGCTGTCCTGATCCTCACCGCCGGAGTCGGGAGAGGTAGGGGTGGTGTCTGTTGGAGGAGGTGGAGGGGAGGAGGAGGATGAGGGTGAGGATGAGGATGAGGATGAGGATGAGGAGGAGGAGGAGGAGGAGGAGGAGGAGGATGGAAGTGGTGGGTCAGAAGAATCGTCAGAGTTAGTTGGCGGCGGAGGGAAGGAAGAGGCGGGCGGGGGCCGATGGTTGGTGCGGTTCGAGAGGCGCAGTTGATCCGAAGGTGACCAACAAGTCCGATTGGAGCCCGGAATGTCCGTTGACATCGAGGACACGTTGGAAGCGGTGGTGCGGCGGCGCTGCGTACTGGGCGAAGTTGTGATTTGCGGGCTTCACGTTTCGCTTTGGCGGCAGCGACGCGGTTGGCTTCGTAGATCGCAGCGCCTGTCTTCACTGTCCTCCTCCAGGTCGGTCGATCGAGTGCAAGCTCCTCCCAGTTGGTGGGGTTGATTTGCAGGCGTTTCAGGGTGGACTTCAGCGTATCCTTGTAACGGCGAATCTGGTCTCCTTGACGGCGAGAACCCGTCGCGACGTCTCCGTAGAAGAGTAGTTTGGGTAGTCGCTCGTCGTCCATGCGCACCAGGTGGCCGCTCCAGCGCAGCTTCATGCGCCTCAGTATGGCGTAGATGCTGGGGATTCCCGTCCGTTCCAGCACATCCGTGTCGGGGATGCGATCCTGCCAGTTCAGCCTCAGGATGCGACGAAGACAACTGAGGTGGAAGTGGTTCAGACGACGTGTCTGCTTTGAGTACACCGTCCAAGTCTCAGCTCCATACAGTAGTGTCGACAGGATGACGGCCTTGTACATCTTCAGCTTCGTGCTCAGCTGAAGACCGTGGCGATTCCAAATTGTGCTTTGGAGGCGACCGAAGGCTTGACTGGCTTTCGAGATCCTGTTGGCGACTTCGTCGTCGATCTTGTTGTTGCGGGAGAGAGTACTGCCCTGGTACGGGAAGTTCTCCACCACTTGCAGTTGGGTTCCGTTCACGCTGATTTGCGGCGGCGCGTTGGGGGCTGTGACTGAGTGGGGTGGCGGTTGGTGTATCACCACCGTCTTCTGCGTGTTAATGACCAGACCGAAGTTCTCGCAGGCGGCGGAGAACAGGTCCATGCTCCGTTGCATCTCCTCTTCCGAGGTGGTGTTTAGGGCGCAGTCGTCGGCGAAGAGGAGTTCGTGAACGGTGGTTGTGGATACGCGCGATTGGAAGCGCATCCGCCGTTGATTCAGGAGGTGACCGTCCGTCCTGTAGGCGATGCGGATCCCGGGGCGTTCGTCGCGGTACGCGTCCATCAGCATGGCAGAGAACACAAGACTGAAGAGGGTAGGCGCTAGTACGCAGCCCTGCTTCACTCCATTGGTCACTGCGAATGCCTCTGAGACAGCTCCGTTGTCCGTGACTCGCGCCATCATACCGTTGTGCAGTTTTTGTGTTAGAAATGAATTTTCGCACGATCTTCCTTGTGTTTGAATTCTCAGTGCCCGTATAAATTCAAACACAAGGAAGATCGTGCGAAAATTCATTTCTAACACAAAACCTTCAGAAAGTCGAGTACTGTCTGAAGTCTAAGGCTGAGTAGTCAGATAGCTCTTAGCTCTCTAAACCGGCGAACCCATTTGTTTGACGCTGACTTTAAAAATACATAATATTCCGTAAATAAATAATAAGGGCTAATCTCCTCTGTAGAATATGCTTTTGCTTACACGAGCCTGGTAACCCTACGAGTGTACGCCACTTAAGAATCAATTTAGTTCTAAGCGATTACAACGTCAATTACAATGGACAAACTACCAAGTGGCCGTGGATTCGCTACGAACGTGGACTGCAAAAACCATCAATACCGCATTGTCATCGAATGACCGGTACGACTTACCAGAGAGATTTAGAGGCAGAAGGAGCATGCCAACAAAGACAGGGATGGTCATTTCTGGCTCATTAGTCGTCGTCAGCCAGCTAGACTGAACCTCGAGGTGTGGAACACCTAGGGCTCGATGTTACGACCCGTTGGTTAGAAGTCCAACGTTCCTAGCCACTGGGCCACGGGCTCGTTGTTCTGCGGGTTTTGATCGGGAATCTACAATGACAGAAGGGCGCTCAGCGATCATGTTACGGAGTTCAATTGTCCTGTTGTGTCTTGGGGCTCTCTCTCGAGTCGAACCAGAAGCCGCATGACGGCGCGTACCATAGAATGACATTACTGACCGCCTACCATTGCATACTCTCGATCGACGATGGCGGGACAGCGAGCCCGTGGCCCAGTGGTTAGGGACGTTGGGCATCTAACAAACAGGGCGCGGGACCGCGTCCCAGGTGTTTCGCACTTCGGGATTGGGTTATGAGCGGCTGACGACTGCTAATAAGCCAGATATGGCCTTTCCAGTCTACCTTATATCTGTCGGTAATGTCACTCTAACTCAAAAAACATCTGCGAAGAAGGGCCACGTCGACGGTCGTTCCCCGCTTAACTGCCCCATTCAGCCATCCAGTCCTCAACCCTTTGCTGCAGGCTTTTGAATTTCAGGCCTTGACTACTAGGCCAGTTCCCATCGAAGATCGGTAGCACACAAAATGATTACGAGAGCAGTGTTCTTGGCGATCCGGATACAGGACCTATCCAGGCCATTACCTGACCATATGCAGTCACTCGTCGAAGGAGTTATCGAAAATATAACGGAAATTGAGATGCTAATTCCTGAATTATTAGCCGTCATCAGTCAGTGATAACCTAAACTCGAATTCTGTCTAACCCGATGCCTGAGACCGGACCCCGTGGTTTTCTGATTAACGGTGTCCTAGGGGAGAAAAAAACTTCGTTTAAACAACGAACACGCCAGCATAAGTAGGTCAACATATATAGTACTTAGTTCCTGACTGGCTCCAAGCGGCTACATAGATAGTCAGCTCGTTCTGACTACAAGCGCGGTTGTTCTCTCCAAGTTCCTTCGTAGAATTTCGCAGATTGCGTCAGCTTCGCTTGGCGGGAGGTCAACGGTTGGTCAACTGATCAGCTCAGTAAAAAAACATCTGCCAATAATAAGGCGACAAAGACGAACCAACGGGGAAACTTAGTAAGAGGAGAGGGAAGATGGGCGAAAGAGGAGAGAGGGGGAGGGACAATGAGGCGATAAGGACGGGTAAAGGGAGGAAAGAAAGTAGCAGTAGTAGTCGTAGCAGTAGTAGTGGTGGTAGTAGTAGTAGTAGTAGTAGTAGTAGTTGCAGTAGTAGTATTCGTAGTAGTGAGAAGGAGGAGGAGGAGGAGGAGGAGGAGGAGGAGGAGGAGGAGGAAGAAGAAGATGCGGAGAGGGGGAAAGAGGGGAAAGGGGAGGAAGGTTATGATGGTAATGGTGGTTCGAGAGAGCGGTCAACGTTAGTTCACGGCGTGGAATGCGTGGGAGAGGTTGACGGAGAGACGACGGTTGGTGCAGTTCGGGTGCTGCAGTTGGTCCGGAGCTGTCCAACAAGTCCAATTGGCGCCCGGAATGTCCGTTGACATCGTGGACACGTATGAGGCGGATGGGCGTTGGTGTTGTAATAGCAGTTGAGATTTGCGTGTCTCGCGTTTGGCTTTGGCGCCGGTCATGCGGTTGGCTTCGAAGATTGATTGTTGCGCCCGTCTTCACTGTTCTTCTCCACGTAGGTCGGTCCCAGGCAAGGTCTTCCCAGTTTGCGAGGTTGATCTGAGGGCGTTTCAGGGAGGTTTTCAGAGTATCTTTGTAGCGCCAGACTTGACCTCCTCGTTGGCGAGAACCTGTCGCGACATCTCCGTGGAAGAGTCGTTTGGGTAGCTGCTCGTCGTCCATCCGTCCGAGATGGCCGATCCAGCGTAATTGTACTTGTCACAGCATAGCGTAGCTGCTAAGGATTCCCGTCCGCTGCAGTACGTTCGTGTCTGGGACAAAGTCCTGCCACCTCAACTTCAGTATTCGACGAAGACAGCCAAGGTGGAAGTAGTTGAGTCTAAGTGTCTGCTTCGTGTACACCGTCCAGGTCTCTGCTCCATACAGCAACGTCGGTAGGATGACGGCCTTATAAATCTTCCGTTTAGTGCCGTGTTGAAGACTGTTGAAGATTCCGAACTGTGTTTTGAAGACGACCGAAGGCTTGACTGGTCTTAGAAATCCGGCGGGCCACTTCATGGTCGATTTTGGTGCTGCGGGAGAGAGTGCTGCCCAGATTCGTGAAGTCGTACCGCTTGTATATGGGTTCCGCTCATGCTGATTTGCGGCGCATTGTGGACAGTGTTGGGTAGCGGTTTGTGCATAACAACCGTCTTCTCCGTGTTAATAATCAGGTCGAAATTCTCGTAGGCGGCGGAGAAGAGATCCATGCTCCTTTGCATGTCTCCTTCAGTAGTTGCATTAAGGGCGCAGTCATCGGCGAACAGAAGTTCGTGGACGGTCGTTGTGGAGACGCGCGATTGGAAATGCACCCTCCGGTGCTTGAACCGTTGACCGTCCGTTTTGTAGGCGACGCGGATCCCGGGGCGTTCGTCTCGGTAGGCGTCCATCAGCATGGTAGAGAACATAAGACTGAAGAGGATAGACGTGAGAAGGCACCCCTGCTTCACTTCATTGGTCACTGCAAATGCCGCTGAGACAGCTCCGTTGTCCGTGACGCGCGCCATCATTCCATCGTGGAGCTGACGCACCATCTGAGTGAATCGCTCGGGACAGCCGAATTTCTGTATGATTCTCCACAGTCCTTCGCGATTCACAGTGTCAAAGGTTTTCGTCAGGTCCATGAAGATAGAGTACAGGTGATTCAGCATCTCCTGACACTTCTTTTGAAATTGGGCGGCGACGACGATCACGAACATGGTCCCACGATCACCATGAAAGCCACACTGGCTTTCCGGCAGGAGACCCTATTCCAGATGGTTGTTCAGGCGGCTGAGAAGAATGCGAACGAAAATCTTCCCAGCGATTTTTAGCAGGGAAATGCCTCTGTGGCTGTCGCAGATTTGGCGATTCCATTTTCGCTTGCAGAGTTGCACGATTGTGACATCCTTGAAATCCTGCGGGACTTCTCCTTGACGCCACATACCCTGGAAGAGCGCCGTCAGGTGACCCATGGGTTGGGGCCACCGTGTATGTAGATCTCAGCAGGGATCGCGTGAGACCCGGGTGCTTTCCCGCTGGAGAGCTGCTGCACGGCCCTGATGGTCTCCTGGAGAGATGGCGGGAGTTCGAGGTCAACGTTGGTCTCCACTTGAGGCAGACGGGCGATGGCGGCGTCGGAGATTGTGGAGGGAAGGTTGAGGACGTCTCTGAAGTGCTCGGCCCCTCGTTGTAGGATTTGTCTTCTCAGTCAGGAGGGTACTAGCGTCGGCGCTGAGGAGAGGATCAGTGCCTTTCGACTGCGGACCGTAGACAGCTTTGATCGCGGAGAAGATGTTCTTCCATTCGTTGCAGTCCGCGTACCCCAGGATCTCCTCAGATTTGCGGGCAGTCCAGGCGTCTTGCATTTCGTTCAACCGCTGTTACACAAGGCGGCGACTACGATAGAAGGCTGGTTTTTGTCGTCGGTGGGGCAGTTCACGTTGGCTTTGTGCAGGCGATTCCTCTCGGCCACTGATAACGGCGTCGTTGTCACCAAACTGGTCCTGGTGTTGGTGGCGTGCGCGACCGAGGACGGCTAGCACCGTCGACTGTACCGTGTCTCGCAGTTGACACCAGCGGTTCTCCACGGAGGCGTTCTCCTCGATGGCGGCGGCGGCGACTGGAAGGTTGGCTAGCCGTTGAGCTGGCTAATTGCAGGCAGGACAACAGAGCAATATTCAGCTTGCCAGGGGGTCGCATACCTTGAGGTCTCCTTCGAGGCTATAGACGAATCTGCATCTCAGAAATGACAAGGCGATGGTCGGTCCACCCGTCAGCATTCGGAATCGCCTTTGTCACCTGCACGTCCCGATGGTCTCGCCTACGGACAAAGACAAAGTTCAACAGGTGCCAATGCCGCGACTGGGGGTGCATCCATGTGGGATTCTCTCGCATCGGCTGGAGGAAGAAGGCGTTCGTCAGGACGAGTCGGTGTTCTGCGCAAGTTCGTAGAAGAAGCTGGCCATTGTCGTCGAAGCCGTCGAGACATGGGGACCCAGCACTCCTCCTCAGGCAGCATGGTTTGTACCGACGGGGGCGTTGAAGTCACCAAGGATAATCAGCTTATCCGCTTTCGACACAGACGCCGGGAAGGCGTGTAGGTCCTCGTAAAATTTGTTCATCGCCTCGTCGAGGCTGGTCATCGGAGGAGCGCAGGCACTGACGATGATGGCGAATTTGCCTCCCCGGAGGGGCAGGCGGAGGCTCATCAGGTGATTGTTTATACCCTGCGGCAGACAAGGCAGTCTTCCCACGATGTCATTCCGGATGGCAAAGGCGACACCTGCGTCCCGTTGCTCTGCCCTTGGACGACCGCTCCAGAAGGCGTAGCCCGCACCCACCTCCTCCAGTTCGCCTCGTTCGGAGAACCGGGTCTCACTGAGTACTGCAATGTCCACCTTGTATCGCGCCGTCTTCCGTTGCAGTCGGTTGTTCCTCAGGTTGTTTAAAAGGAAACGAGCAGTCTAGGCTGTCACCCTACCAGTCTAACGAGTGGGGCGGCGGAGAGAAAGGGGAAGAGAGAGAGAGAGAGAATGCTGTTTCGGATTTGAGTCTTTCGATCGTGAGTTTTGCGTCTAAGGCCGCGGTCAGCCTACAGAAGGCGTGGGTCCCCTGCACTTGTTTAGGGCACCTTTTCTAGCCCCGTTCCCTTCGCGAGGGGGGGATGAGCAGTGCTATCCCTAAACAGGGCTGCTCAGCTATCCCAGGCGACTGCCGAACTCCACTGTGCGCCACGGCTTTTGTTTATTGGAAGAGCGACCGGAGTTAGCCTGGGACTGCCTACGACAGCGCCGTAAGCTTGAAGGGGGGAGGGAGGATGGGTAGAGAAACGGGATGCAGAGCTTTCCGTCCCTCTCTAAGCTAACTGGCTGCTGAAATATAAACGGTGAGTAGACAAATTCAACAGAAGGGCATTTAGCTAAGAATAAGATCAGACATGAACAAGCAGACACAAAGCAAGCAGACAAGAACAGCAAAATGCAGAGGCAACAGAGGAAATGCAACAGAACGGCACTCAGTTTTCAGTAAGGACAAATGCAACCAAACAAGAACAAGCAAAAGCAACGTTCCTTACCTGGGGGGGGGGGCTAACTTACCTTGTGGCCTCCTACGGTGTTCCAGACGAAGCCTCATCATTGAGATGCGGATGCCCGCCAGCGGAGTCAAGATTACCGGAGATGCGAAGAGCCGAGTCCCAGGAAGAAGTCTTGAAGAAGGAGACACGACCGCCGGGACAAGAGCTTTATTAGCCTGACGTTTCGGATTCCTACTCGAATCCATCATCAGAGACAAAAGAGCAGAAACGGGTGCTCTGCTGCTCTGTTCTTTTGTCTCTGATGATGGATTCGAGTAGGAATCCGAAACGTCAGGCTAATAAAGCTCTTGTCCCGGCGATCGTGTCTCCTTCTTCAAGATTATCGGAGATGCACACACGGATAGGCTCACCTGGTCTAGCCCTCCGGTCGAGGCGGTTATCGGCGTGTGGCGGCTAGACAGAGCCTAGCTCCGGGGAGCCACAGGTGAGAGTTGGTTGGCAGTAAGTGACTACTAGGCGTAGTCTACACCTGCAAACGAGCGACCCAGAGCTGGACACACCCACACCCCATCGCCAACGGCCAAAAAGGTCCTCACGCCCAGAATATCACGCACACATTCACCATCACCGCCCCCGCCTCAAGAGAAGTAGACTCGGTCCCAACTTGTCCTTATTTCGACTGCACATTCACCTCACACATCGGTCTGATCGGTCACATGCGAATCCACTGCACAGAGACTGGCGAAGTCAGGTGGCTCCGAAAGCAGAAGTAATGTTAAGATGGTCTTCTTGTCTATGTCTTGACACGGGGCTAAAGTGAGGACGAGAGAGTGAGACAGGCGCTGTGCAAGTCTACCCTCACTAATAACTAATTCACGCGCAAGTCATCGTGCCTACCTCATCTGCAACGGAGCGCGAGGTGAACATCGTCGCTCGCAATGATCAAACCGTCATCAGGGCTAGGGGCGTTAGGGTTAGATTTCGGACCCATGAGTAGTAGTGGGGGAGGTCCAGATTCCTGTGTCCAACCCTTGTATTTTTATCCCAGCGTGGAGTACTTGATACAAAACACAGCAAAATCACCATATCGCATTGATGAGTGGTCTTTCAAACACTATATACCCTCTCTTCTTTGGTACACAGAAAGTCTAGATAGTTTTAAAGTTTTCCGCTTCTGAACACTTGTTTTGAGGCGTGGACTTGTAACTAACAGGTCGCGAGTTCGAGCCTAGGGTGTTCCACACTTCGGGATTGGGTATGACTGGCTGGAGATGGCTAATAAGCCATGAATGGCCATTCCAGTCTCCATTGTCGTTGTCGGTAATAAAATACTGCCTATATCATGCGCTGTTGTGAGGCTGCTGGTTGGGCTCGAGAGAGAGCCCGTAAGGTACAACGGAACGACTGAGTTCCGTAAGAACGATCGGTGAGCGCTCCCTACCATTATATACATATATACATGTGATGAAGAGAGAGGGCTCGTCGGAAAAATTGATTTGTGAATTGGTTGACGTGATAGGGCAGCCACTGACAGGCAAGCAACTAATGTATGAAATGCGGGTGGACACATAATTAGGCTAGGATCTGTGGCGGGGGAGGGCCACGTATAATCGCAAAATTTCGTCATCCCCTACCCCGGACAAAGCTAACCGCATCTGCAACCCCTAACACATCTACGTTGGCTCACTGACCTCTGCCCGCATGTCAGATCGACGATCATTAAGTCCACTCTCCGTACTCCCTTTGAATCATCATCCCCCTGCTCTCTAACACAGGGAGCTGCAACAGTTCCCTCTCCCCTCCCCCGCCACAGATCCTAGCCTAATTATGTGTCCACCCCCATTTCATACATTAGTTGCTTGCCTGTCAGTGGCTGCCCTGTCACGTCAACCAATTTGGTCTGACAATTTCACTTTCTCCTCTGTTTATTTCGTCTGACGACGAGTTGGTGTCACCAGCTCGAAAATTCACGAGTACAAATCAATTTTTCCGACGAGCCTTCTCACTTCATCATATTATCTCGGAATGCACACAACCTCAACTATACATACATATATACTTATGACAGATGCGCGCTCACCGATCAGGTTACAGAACATGCTCGTTTTGTTGTGCCTTGGGGCTCATACTTAAACCCTCGCAGGCAGTCGCACAGCGACTAGTAGTAGACATAGATGAGATGGAGCCGACAAAGACAAGGGAGACCGGAATGGCCATTTCTGGCTTATTAGCCGTCATCAGCCAGTCATACCCAACCCCCAGTGTGAATCACTTGAGATTCGAACCCGGGATCTTTGGTCATGAGCGTTAAACTCCATGACCAAAGATCTCGGGTTCGAATCTCAAGTGATCCACACTGGGGGTTAGGTATGACTGGCTGATGACGGCTAATAAGCCAGAAAAGGCCATTTCGGTCTCCCTTGTCTCTGTCGCCTTGATGCCGCTCCCCTTCTCACACCCGACAAAGAATGAGGAGGAACCGTTGCCGCCATGACAACAAATCGCCAAGCCTTGAGATGCAGCACGCTGGCAGTCAGAGACACGCCAGCACGAAGAACAAAAACCCATAAATACTGTGACGTGCAGTACGCAAACCACATCCGATGATGGAAGCTTGTTTGCTTTCGAAACGTCAGGCAAATATACCTATGGTTCCTGCGATCGCCTTATCTTCTCAGTTATATCCGGGAACGCGCATTTTTGCTTCAATCAGCAATACATACATATATATGATGGCGATAGGCAGAGCCTTTGAAAACCCTATAAAAGAGAGATGTCTGCAACACCCCGCTTTCCCAGCCCAAAACCCATGCAAGTACTAACCGGGCTCAACGTAACTTAACTTCGGTAATTGGATGAGAACCGGTGATTCCTACGTGGTATGTCCCCGAAAGTACACAGGTCAAAAGTGACTAAACATACACATCGGAATGCGCGGGCAAAAAACTGCCCTTTTTTCCTCCTGACCGCTCCCGACCTGGAAGAAGATCACAGTTCAACTTCGTTGCCACAAAAGTACTTGGACAGGCATGGAGTAAGGCGTAGAGGGAGGTGAAGTCCGTCATTTATTGGGGCGCCGACAGTTCGACCGCCGCAGGCCTTGACGTCCACCGTGTGTCCTTCGCAGTGTGCGGATCACCGGTGACTTGCGCGTGATATAGTTTCCAGTGGGGCAGACTCGCATGGCATTCACCGCACTCTCTCACTCCTCCCTCACCCACCTGGCTCCAATGGCAGGAGTAATGTTATGACGATCGTAAGTGGGCGCGGATGCAGTGGCTGACAAAATTAAACAGCCCGTCTACGCGAGCCACACACACGACCTGGTCCCAATACATGTACCAGGCTACGGCTCGGATCTCATACCGATCAGAACGCTCCATTCACCAACGATGTCAGTCAAACGAGATATCCTGTAGTACTTCCCGTGTGGCCTTCTGCCCTCTGTAAAGATTTTCATTCTACGACTGGTGGGATTACGAGGATAGTTGGATGGTTGGAATGGCTACTAGAAGCGAGATCTTCGGCCAGGGAAGTTCAGTAGCGATCACCAAGTGACCTTACCCAGTTCAAGATCATATTTAAGCAAGATACGTCCAGAGGTTCTTCTGTAGAAGTCGAAAGGTGGCTCGCAGACTCCTTTCAAGTACGACAGCAACAAACAGAAAAGGAGCACTTACGAGGTGAACACAAAAACAACATACACGCCGAACCCCCCCCCCCGCCATAGCTGTGGAGGTGACTAGAGAAAAATAGTAACCATTCAACACCTCCAACATGTTAGAGCCTGTCCTCGTACGAGTAAGCACGGTGGCTATTTCGACGACGACATAACGTGCACGCGTGGACAAAGCAGCAATTAGAAGAGCCAATCGTATCGCGTCCTTCCCACTTACCAGCCACCACCATTCCCGCATGACTGAGTGATGCTCATATGAGGGGCTGGGGAGGGGGGGGGGCGGCGATGCGGCACAGGGCCTAACCCCGCGAGCTCTAGGACGCACGAAAGGGCTGGGAGGGCCAGTGATTGACCTGAGAAGGCAGTGCGCGCACACCGAAGCCCCCCCAATATCACGGCCTTCGCTCCACCATCCTTCCTTCATACACCGCATCAGCAAAGAGCCATGCTAACGTCCTCTCAAGCACATTTCGCGTGGCTACACCCATCAGGCTCTTGAGAGAGAGAGGCCACAGCGCAGTCGCAAGCGGCCTCGAGCACTGAAGGGAAACCGTAGCAGGGGGGCGGTCTGAACAATCGTTGGAAGACTGCGTAAGCACACTGCTTGTCGATTTAAAAGTATATCTCTCTCAGTTTAGTAGAGGGCGTTATGGTTGAAACTGAGGCTATAAATAGAGCTGATTGCTTCGTCTAAACTGTCCAAGGCACATTGGACTCACCTCAATCCCCAGCCATTGCCTTCAAGCAACAATAACATGGCGTTATGGGATACTAATCTTCGTATGCTGTAAAATGACCATCCCCGCTGGTTCGGTGGTTGAATTCGAATTGGGATGGAGAGGACAAAGAGTGCTGATTATGCGTATGGGATATTGTTAGTCATGCGCCTTGCACTTTAATACTGCATTCTAAATGTCTAAACGAAGGATTGTCGTATAGTTTTTGTTCGATTGACAGTTTGAAGGGAATCATACTGGAATCCTAAGAGGACGTCACAAAATGTCCGACCAAATTGTTAAGACCGTAAAATACGGCGGCCGAATGTGCCATCTCACCCTATAGCGAAACAGAAAACAACAATTTTTTTTGTGGTGGTGGTGGCGGTGGCGGTGGTGGTGGTGGCGGTGATAGTGGCGGTGGTGGTGGCGGTGGCGGTGATGGTGGTGGTGGTGGTAGTGGTGGTGGTGGCGGTGGTGGTGCGGTGAAGGCGGTGGTATTGGTGATGATGATACGATGAGGGATCTGATAAAAAAATGTGCTAACTCATGAAATGTCAACCAAAATTTCGAAATGCATTCTCGTTTCGAAAAGATAAATTAAGTAGTGTTGTAAAACTAATCACGATGCAGCATAAATTTTTAATGATCCAGTTACCTCAGGGTGTCGGCTTTCGGAAAAACTTATTTTCGGCTGCATGCAAGATCTATACTCTGCAAAAAATGACTACTTAAGTAGCATGCAATTTTCTCATTGATTTTCGATGCCCTTGAAAATGCAATTATATTTCATGGAAAACATGCATAAAAATATTCATTCTTTTACTTATTTGGTAGAAAATCACGTCTTCTTCCAATTTGCTACTCAAAAGAAGAGTATAATTCGGTTTTAAAAAAGTTTCTAATTGTGAGATTTCTTAATACCTTTAAATGGCCGTTCATGAAACGTCATCTATCTGCATTTACGAATGTGGCTTGTAGAGTTAACAATATTGCTCAAATTCACTGCGTACTTTTATGAACCTCATATGGTCTCCTCTTAACACCGAAGAGAAATGCATGGTTTCCCGTACACGGAAAATATACAGCTTGTAGTTTTGAAACCCTGAATGAAAGTGTAACAGCAGGTCGGGTTAAACATTATTCAGGAATTAGAAAAGTTTTTAAAAACCGAATTATACTCTTCTTTTGCGTATGAAATCGGAAGAAGACGTGATTTTCTACCGAATAAGTAAAAGAATTAATATTTTTATGCATGTTTTCCATGAAATGTAATTGAATTTTCAAGGGCATCGAAAATCAATGAGAAAATTGCATGCTTCTTAAGTAGTCATTTTTTGCAGAGTATAGATATTGCATGCAGCCGAAAATAAGTTCTTTCTAAAGCCGACACCCTGAGGTAACTGGATCATTATAGATTTATGCTGCATCATGATTAGTTTTACAACACTGCTTAATTTATCTTTTCGAAACGAGAACGCATTTCGAAATTTTGGTTGACTTTTCATGAGTTAGCACATCCACTCTAGGCGGAAGTTAAGACGATAAAACTAGTTCATAGTGCACAGCCCTACCTGGACAGACAATGAAAAGGCAGACGGAATTGCGGTATCCATTCTGCAAACAGTCCTCGTCAAGGGAACCGGCAACAGGCGCCGCGGAGGTGGAACATCCGAACGACAGGTGCAAAAGCCTGTGTTCAATAGTGCGACCAAGCCTGCCCGGCGCACAGGTGATGCGGTTGAGACCCACCAGGGGCGGCGGCGGCGGATTGTGTCCGCTGGACGGCACAGCACTCCCCCTGGGCGCAGCGCCGTGGATGGGCCGGATGAGGCAGGTGAAGGTGGCTCGAGTGCGAATGGTAGACAGACCGTCTGGGCAGTCACCGTTAGAGACCAGTTGGGTTTCGTACTCCGACATAATGCTCTTGACAGGTGGGGAGACAATGGAGTAGAAGAGACAAATGCATTCATTTTTCCGATTTTAAAAAAAACCTTTTTTGTTTGCATCAGTCCGCCTTCAGTAGTGTAAGATCTCTGGCAAGGGGCGGGGAAGCATAGAACTGACGAACGCGGTTCGGAAGCGGAGGGACCGAAACATCTGACACACATACACACGAATTCATTGGGAACCCTCGTAGTAATCCTTAACAGACTACACGGAGGTATGTGCTGCCAATAGCATTTTGACCTCTGTGTCGCCAATCGCACCAGCGTTGCATGGGTGGGTCCTTCCGTATCTTCATTAAAGTAATCCTGTCTATTACGTCCTAAACGTACTTGGAACGGTCTGAAATAACAAGAAAGGAAGATAATTTTGAGCTCAGGCGGCAGTTGGTCCACATTACTTTTTGTCTTCCCTAGGCACTTGCTGTTGACCATAAAAAGGCATAATTTCGCCATATCAGTCTCCCTTTCGCAGCGAGTGGAGAGATTGAGTCATCGTTCGCGTTTGTTTCATTCCGAGAAGGGTGACGATTTTTCATCCAGGATAGCCACCCAAAAGAGCATCATAAGAAGGAGTCCTTCCAAAGGGACCCAAAGCCGTGAATAGGATTCGGTAAGTTTATTGCATCCCCAAGTTCAATTACTAGCCTGATGTGATCAATTGAAAGGGCGTTTGGCTGTTTGTTGTGGGGAAATTGAAGTGTGAAATCGCCCCCGCGCCAGTAGAAACTCCGACTGAAGGCGACTCAAAGCGTCATTGATCGCAGATTATTTTAAGCAAAATACATGGATTACTAAACGCTTCCAAAAAACTGCTTAGACCAATTTGTAAATTGGCCCGCCTTTGTGTTCCATGTTATAACTCGACCTGAGTCTAAACGCCAATCAGCGATCGGAGCCGAAGAGTTGAAAGGGATTGCGCAGGGTTCTGTATACCGGCGACAGATCGACACATCGACTGACTGCGTCCTTATCCAAGCCCCAGGCTTCAGTCAACTCTCGGTTGGTCTTCCGGTTTCTGCCAAGTTAAACTCCGGGTCTGTTTCGAAGGTGTGGACGGTTACTTACAATAATTTGTCATTGTCATACGACCAGATTGTGTTCGTGTCTACACGATCGGAGCACGCATTTTGTCTGACTTGTTTAGTTGCAAAGACAATTTAGGCACGGCATACGATAAACTGCACTGGACTCCTCCCTAGGGTTTAATCGGTCCTTTATTTTTATGACTCTGCTGCTCATGGTAGCTTCGGGAGAATGGCTCACATACGGAGATGTGTGTTAACTCTCCTGTGAAGATCGTCCGAGCCAGTCTGACTACCGCAGTTCGATAAACCTACAATTCCACGTAGACTTCCGAAGTCGGCGAATCCAATGGGCTGAAATCATGGCCTCTTTCGACGTGAGGTCATTATCCACATCTACCTTGCTGCGTTTGGCCCATAGTCTTGCGAAAGAAAGTTGGGGAGACATACGACGGAACACAGAGCCCATCCGAAATAGAGACTGTCCGAGTTTTGTCAAAGACTTTACTTCACGTTTGCAGGGGAAACGTATAGGTATATCAAGAAGACTCGATGAGCTCCCAAATCTCTGGTCCAGCGACACAACTGGTCCTACAGGAGCTGGAGAAGACTGTCTTCTCCCGCCAGATGCCGAACTTTTGGCGCCGTTGCGTGGACAACAAAGTTGTCATCGTCAGAAAAAATATGCTAAAGAATTAGCAAAGAGGAAAGAACAGGAGCAACAAGTACCCTTGCTGGACGGGCTCCTCAAGCGAGGTCCAAGTGACGAAATAGAAGCAAAAAATTTACGTAAAATCAACGATAACGGCGCAGAGTCTCATTTTTCAGTGTAACCATTCGACAGCTCACAATCTGGTTCAGACTTGAAGACCAGGACGGTTATCCGAAGACGTTTATTAGCCGAAAACTATGGACAATTCCCATTCCTGGATGTCCTTATACGTCGAAAAACCGATGGATCACTCCAGACATCAGTTTATCGCAAAGAGGCGTATTCAGAGGTCATCCTACACTTTGAGAGTAACCACCCTGTCTCTCACAAACGGAGCACAGTCTACAGCCTTCTGAATCGAGCCAAAACCCACTGCTCTGACGAAACAAGTTATCGAGCAGAAATGAAATACCTCTACAAACTGTTCTCCGAAAATGGGTACCCGTATGACTTTATACGTCAATGCATGAGGCACCAGCAACTCAAGGGAAAAGGTATTTCCAGTGCTACGGCCACTCAGGCACCAAAACAAACCACATGGCGAACTCCCCCATACGTCAAAAATGTATCTGAACTTGTCGAAAGACAATTGAAAAAGTACCAGATACACGTAGCACACCAGCCGGCAACTACCTTACGCACACAGCTTGTGCACCCTAAGGACAGGGTCGGCTACCTCGAAAGAAAAGGTGTCGCCTACGAAATCCCGTGTTCTAGTTGTGATGCCGTTTATTGTGGCCAAACTGGGAAATCTGTCTCAACCCGTATACATGAGCATCAGTTAGCGGTGAAGAGACGCGACCATCTATCCCAGCTGGCCATGCACACACTAGACACTGGGCATAAATTCGCATGGGAGAACACTCGCATTGTTGGCGCCTGCCAAACAAGAAAAGGCCGCGAATTCCTGGAGGCAATGCACTCAGATGAGGCATGCATCCACAGGCATATCGATTTAGATGCCACATACAAAATCGTTAAGGACAGATTCAAACTGTGTCAGCCAATCCCGAGATGACAACCTTAACCAATCATGGACTTATTTTGCTACTCAGTCTAAAAGTTAGTTGTTTTTGCACACCCGTTGTCTGAAGACGAGCTGGGGAACCAGTCTCGAAAATTCACAATAAAATTTTGCTCTTTCCCAAAGAACTTCACCTTTCTAATTATATTTCTTGGGATGCCTGTTTTTCAATTTATACCTATGTGTCTACCCTCAGAGAACCTGAACGGAAACATCACTAAGGTTATAGCATGGTCTGGTGAAAATAAAGTACGTATCAGAGACGACCGACCAGATGTTAAAATTGCTCACCAAATGTACAATTATGACTCAGTCCGTAAGCGCGCCGCCTCCTTTACTGTTTACTCTTCGAGAGAGGACGAATGTGATATATGCGTGCATATATAGGTACATATTTGCCTAGCCAATCGACTTCTTTTGGCAGGCGAGTCTGAAGCGATGACTATAGATCTATGCGTTTAGTAAATCAATTGTCCACAAGGGTTTTCGAAAAACCTGACAGCCATGAAAGTATTCGATGACATCTGAAGGCAAGACGGAAAGCCCTATTTAATCCGGCAAGCTAGGTTTACTGATGCACGCCATTTTCACTTGTCGGATGATCAGTTCGCAAAAGGCCTTCTAAGGCATTGTCGATTACCGAATTTAACAACAATTTGCTGGAAAGGATACTTACTTGTACTTGTACTTGATACGGCTGCGATCATGTCTGATCTAGCCGGCCTCGATGATGTCCCGAATTGTACCTCTCCACGCGTGACGATCGGCGACAGCAGATCTAGACTGCTCAACCCGTTACCGTCGCCAACGACGGAGACCGAATACCGAAGGTCCAAGAACCACCTCCATGTCTTGACGGACAGTGTCGAGCCAGGTTTTGAACTGACACCCTCTTCGACGCTTCCAATGGGGCAACGGTGCCGGATCGAGGGCAGTAACATTGAGCTCCTGAGGTGGACGACGAAGAACATGCCCGAACCACCTCAGTCGTCTTTCTTGGATGGCCTGAGTCATCCCTGCGATGTTGTCGCAGCGATCGCGGCCTGTCTCATTTGAAACGAAGTCGGTTAGCTTCACTCGAAGGATGATCCTCAAGCAGTGGTGGTCAAATACCTCCAGTTTTCGCTCATCCTCCACGCGCAAAGTCCAGCATTCACAACCGTAGAAAAGGACAGACCGAACAGATGCACGTTACACGCGAATCTTAGTGGCGATGGATAGGTCACGTCGGTTCCACAGGCATTTCCGAAGGCTTGAAAAAACCCAGCGGGCAGCATCGATTCGGGAGACAATGTCCTCCTTACTCTGTCCATTAGGCAGCAGCCTCGCCCCGAGGTATTTAAAACTATCCATTTCTTCAAGTTGACAGCCATCAAACCCGAGGGATGCCTTCTCCTGGTCAGGTATGCAGCCTGAGAATACTTTGGTCTTCCCAGCGTTTATGGACAAACCGACGGATTTAGCGACCTCGTTCACCCGTGACACCATAGACTGCAGATCACCAAAACTTGAAGCAAGTAAGGCGATATCATCGGCATAGTCGAGATCAGTCAGTCGATGTCCGGGTGCAAATTCAACGCCGTCACTGTCGCGTAGGGCCCTCCCGAGGATTCAGTCAATAGCGTAGTTGAACAATATGGGTGACAGGATACAACCCTGTCGGACGCCAGACCGAATACCGAACGGTTGGGAAAGATTGTTACGAACCAGGACTCTCGCAGTAGTGGAGCGATAGTAGGCCTTGATCATGACGATGATGTTTGCCGGTACACCATCTAGCGCCATTATCTGCCACAGGGACTCACGGTGAACGGAATCGAACGCGGCGGCAAAGTCAACGAAGCAGACGGCCGTCGGTTGTTGGTAGCTATGGCGAAATTCGAGAATGCGCTTCAGTGTGAATATCTGATCTGCGCATCCACGTCCAGCACGAAATCCGGCTTGGTTGGGCCTCGTCCTTGAGTCACGCACAGCCTGGAATCGTCTGAGTAGGACAATAGCGAAGATCTTCGCAGCAACGTCGATGAGACTTATGCCGCGGTAGCTCTCGCATCTCTTCTTATCTCCCTTCTTGAGGATAGGTACAAGGATGTCTTAGCCCCAGTCATCAGGAACAACCTCGTCTCTCCACGCTCGTTCAATCACCTCATGGAGCCAGGGCGCCAGAGTGTCGACACAAGACTTGAAGATTTCAGCGGGTATACCGTCCTCTCCGGGTGCCTTATTGTTGCGCAACTTTCGTATGGCATCGGCGACTTCTTCCTCGGAGGGGGAATCGCATGGCACTGCATAGGTAGGAGAGGGAAGAAACTCCGCTGAGGAGGAGAGCAAGGGCGATGTAGGTTGGGTATCGAAGTTGAGATGGTGCTCAAAGTGCTCACGCCAGCGCTCGACTTTGGCCGAGTTGTCAGCTATAAAGCTGCCGTTCACATCGCGAACAGAGTCACTCAGTGTAGAGGGCTTACCGCTAACTTGGCGGATCAGAGGGTAGAGCTTTCGGGTGTCACCAACGTTTGAGGCCTGTTCCATGGATGTCGCTATTTCAGCCCAATATTGCTTCCGGTCATCCCTGGCCGATTTTGCCGTTATCTTCCGAAGTTGGCGGAAGTAATCATCGTTGCGGGACCTGGCTCTAGGCGTTTGAGCAGACAACTGCAGGGTTCTTCCGCTGATCCAGTCACTGCGGCGTCGCTGGGTGTATCCAAGGATTGTCTCAGCTGCCCCATAGACTGAGGTCTTCAGTGACGACCACTGGTTACTGACTTCTCCGTCGGCTAGGGTCGTAAAACAGGTCCGGATTTCTCTGCTTAGGGCCTCGGCAGTGCTGGCTTGCCGGATTTTTGCGACATTGAGACGTCTAGGACGTGGCATTTTTGGTGCGGATGGGAGATGAACTTTCAGGCGTGTACGGACGAGGACATGGTCCAAACCATGGGCGTTACCAGTCTCGGCACCACGCATCGATCTGCTATCGTGAACCCAGCAGCGGAACCTTGAGCTGACTAGTATGTAGTCAATCTGACTGGCCGTACGACCGTCGTTTGAAAACCAGGTCAGCAGATGTTTTTTACGATGCTGGAAACATGTGTTGGTGACAAGCAGTCGGTTTCGATCTGCGAAGCTCAGTAATCTCTCACAGTTTTCACATCGGGAACCAAGCTCAAAGCGGACAAGAAGATGACTGGTTGTGGGGTCTCCAGGTTCAGTTCGACCATTCCAATCGCCAGCAACAATCAGCAGATCGCGGCGAGGCAGTCTTTCAACTAGCGCTTGCAACTGACAGTAAAACGCCTCTTTATCGCGCTGGTCGGTAGCCGAAGTTGGTGCGTACACAGCGACGATGGAGATGTTCGTGAAGTGACCCTTCAGTCGCACGTAGGCCATACGGTCATTGACTGGTTCCCAAGCAAGTAGCGCGAGGTCCGCTTGTTGTGATAGGGCAATCGCCACACCGTGTCGACCAGAGGAATCGCGGGGGCCGCTGTGGTACAGGGTGAAGTGTGATTCGACTCCCGGGATCTTTGTTTCACGGGAGCCCGAGTCAGGAAGTCGTACCTCATACAGTCAGCAAAGGGTAACTTAGATCGATCGGAACAACAGAATTTAAACAGTCAGTGCGAGTATTTGTGGGTTACAAATAATAAGAAAGTTTGAAATTTACCCTACCCCATTGCGTATGGTCCACCGGAGCGGCGTTAACTGAGAGACGCAGTTAGTGGAACATTCGATTTCCACGGAGTGCATACCAGAGAGCTGGCTCTGTATCAAGTTGATCGGATTGGCTCGCGTACCACTGCCAAAGTCAACGTCGACCAATTTTGTAGTGGTCTCCTCACCAACAGACAATTGCCTGATGACAACAGCAGCGCGAGGGCCAGCGATGGAGAAGGCGTCATCGTGGATTTCACCGGCTCGACGAAGCGCGCTTGCCCCAGAGACTGTTGTACTACTGGTTGAGGACATAAGCTTAATCTCCGAAGTCTTTACAATCAGCGGGACTGGAAGGAGTGAAAAATCCTCTCTTAAGTGGACAAGTTCGCGGGCTCTGTGAATACACCGTGACATTCACAGTGATCTGCCTGTGTAACTAAACGCAATGCGACATACAAGCGGATAAAAGATGACATTTAAATAAGCAGGGACTCAAGTAAGCAGTCGGGTGTCACTACGATATGTTTACTAGTTGTATGCAATGTTTAAGCATGACCCCTTGTTACTTCTGAGTTTTGGGCTCTTTAAAAATTTCAGATTAAACTCACTAAAAGTTGTTTTTAAATGCCTTCTTCGGTCCGTACTTTTACCGCACGTGCAAACCGTAGGTTTTAAATGGCAGTTTACAAGCCGCATTACAAATCACAGTATATACAGTCCGTCTAAAGAGGAATTCCGCATTCTGTCAAAGAAAATAAACCAACATCATGATATTTATTTTTGTCAATGAGCTGTGTGTCATTCTCGGGCAGTTGGAGATTAGCAGCCCCCATCATACCAAAAATTGCGATTCCTAAACAAAACGAAAAAGTCTTTTTCATGGCAAATATTTATTTACGTTGAAAGGTCTAAAAAACCTAGATCGTTTTTAAGAACAGGTGAGCGGTGAAATAATCACAAGCTGAGAAGTAAACTTTGAGCTGCAAATACACTATTTTTGCTATCAAGGGTAATAAAATGTACTCTAGATGCAAGTATAAAAAGGTCGACTTCACTTCGCAATAGTGCATTAATCATGGAAAGTAGAAAGGAATTGCCGTAAATCATCAAAATGCACATCAAAGAAACTTGTAAAGGCTTCATGCAGTCTCTGACGCGGTCTAAAAAATAACGGCCTGAAAGGAATTTAAAGTGCAAACGAAAGTTGAAAATGCAGTGCATATTAACTCTTACATTTTTAACATTTTGGCTACAAAAATATTTGCGTTCTTACAACGTAAAAATATTCTCAAATGAATGCTGACAGTTACAGCTGTCATATATGATGTAGTCACGCAAAATCTACCTTTGACATTTACTTCAATTCCGTCGGATTGGTCTCCGTGCTGGCAAGACCAGTTTCCTCTAATTTCATATTCGACAGCGTTAAAAAGTAATTCCACAAAAGTCCCATTTTGGATACACGTAAAATTTAATGGGAGGATTCGAAAATTTAGGCAGTTCTCCGCAAATTGTCTCCCGTTCTTAAACCACATAATTTCAAAACGCTTTGTATCGATTTCACATCGTATTCTTAATGCAGACTTGAGCTGCGCAATAGACGGCTCAACTGAAATTTTTATTCGGGAGGAGCAGATGTCAGTTAAACAGAATATGACCAAAAGCAGGCTTGCACGACAACCAGTCATCGTGCTATTATTATTTCCAATCATGTGTCTACTTGAGGTCAATCAGGACCTAACGGATATAGTTAAACGCAATTGTCGCCTATCAGATTGTTTGCATAACTGTGTCTTTTATTTTTTATGCATGCATCCATAAGCGTTTTAAGTGATAAATTACTCTTTCGTTAGCATATATTTATAGTTTTTCATGTAATCCAGCATTTTGACGTTGGTCTTTTCTCCGAAATTCCGAACGAGCGTACCAACAAATAACTGGTCAAATCATGAACACTTGACTTTATAGGTAAAAAGGGCAACGCAGCGTCGAAAGTAACTGGATCAGAGTTAATGTTGGTGGACTTTATGCATCAGAAATTTAGCATAACCCTTGGACACACTGCCACTACAGTGAATTCTAACAGCAAACCTAGAGGCCAAAGAATCTACTGAATCCTCAGTCAGGCGCTAACCGAAAGGGCAAAAGAGGAGCGTCGCATGCGAATCGAGAGCGTCTGCTTAAAATAGCGAACAGATTACTGTGGCGGGGGCCAAACAAATGATAACAGAAAGCGCCCTAATGTATTGGATTTTGAAGTAGCAAAATGCAGAATGCAAAATCATTTGTTCATTCATTATGCAAGATTGTAGGTATTTCTACGGAATTAAGCCCTCATGAGACAAATAACAATGCTTTCTAGCAACAAAATGAGATGCTGTGGCACAAACACATGTGTTAGCTCTCTTTTTATTAGTTTTGAACCATCAGTTTCAATATGAAGGGTGCATAGACAGACGTTGCGTCCTTTTAGCTTAAGCATTTATAGAATCGCATATATAGTACGTTTGTTAATAAACTGATTTTCCTACTATCGTGTGTTTTGGCGTCATGTTTGCAGCATTGGAGTGATTTAGTACAATATAGAATTTCCTGTCCCTAAATACCTATTTATAGTGTGTCAAATGATGTCAGCTCCCACCTCCGTTGTAGTTTATGAATAGTCATTGTTAGTGTAATTTTGTCATTCGCTATCTCGTCTGATGTTCTCCATCCATATTAGTGATGATGCGCAAACACAATGAGTCTCGTCAGAGTACCATACACAAATGAATATTCTTCCCAACAAGGGCATACGATTTCCTGGCCAGGTATCAGCTGCTGACACCGAGATGCCGGAGATGGAATCTTCATTTGAATGAAATGCGACGGGTAAAGGTTTCTGTAGGCATTTTTACAACCACAGAGGGCTTTCTAATGATGGATACGACAATTCGTAACTGTAGGTCTTCCTAGCAAATAGTAATGCAGTGTGCAACAACAACAAGTGATTTTCCATGCCGACTCAAGCACTCTAATGTAGCGACAGGTTACACTTTGAAGACTTTGGCACTGAATTATTGACAATTATTCGGCCCGGGAATAAAGCAGAAAACGCCATGTGTGGGGACAACTTGATGCAAATTTTGATGCTTCCATGAATAAGGCACTAGTAATTACAGATGCTCATTCGTTGAATTTTCTGGAGTGTTTTATCGTGACTTTTTCAAGTCGCCGAATACCGGCATTTCCGATTTACGCTTTCTCTATCGGTTTGCATAAGCTATCTGATGATCCCAGAAAATAAAATATGCTAAAAAGATTGTGAAAACCATTTGCGGAATTTTTAAAGTTATCAAATAATATAACTTCGTAACATATATTCTCAACATCCACTGTTTAGTTTACTCCTTTGATACAGTCGATCCTCTTTTTTTCTGCACATTTTTTTCATTTTTACCGATGAATCACTTTACGGGCAGACGCAAATAGTTTAGAACAGTTGACAACCAGAGCAGCTTAGACGCACAAAGGACCTTTTTGAATGCGTCTGACCCGATTTTCCAATTGTTGCATGCTGACCCATGAGACTATATTACATTTCAATTTAAACTTTCCTGCCTACCGTCACGATCTCCCATAAGATTCGCATTATTCAATATTTCTAGGATATCGAACCCGCCTAATCATGCCAATTCCCGCCTATGAAACCCTTTGCCATCCGTTCACTTACTCTGAATATTTGTTTTGCGTACCGTGAAGACCTTCTTATCTCTGCAATTTAGGGCAATAACTTCACCAAATATTGTCTGTTCAGTTCTCTTATCCGACAGTACTTTTAAACATACTGGCTCTACGACTTATGTCAATTTTTTCCCTTTTTACTTGGTACATCCTTTTAACAAAAATACATTTCACTTAACATTACTTACATCACAGTGGGTAACACCCACGGAGTGGTATTCTTAATGTTTGTATTTCTACCTGTCGGATTAGTCAAAAAAATCTCGCTGCCCTGGACCCGCTTGTTTTTTTTTTACGGAAGTTCCGTTAGCGGTCGAAAATGGACAAGGAGCAGAAAGCCTGCGCGGGGAAAAAATCTCACCCTCGGGAGCAGCAAGGTATATTCTTTGAGGGAGCTCAGAGGCAGCCTTCGGCCTGAGAATGCTCAATGGCTGCGATTTGGAGCGCGGCATACGTATTGACTACCTCCCTGCGAGCACGCCAAATCAGTGACGAAAAGAACAGAAACTAACTTTTGAAATTCAGATATCAGACAGTGCTCACGTCCGAAAGGCATAAAGTGGGCTGGAAACCACCTACGCAGCTAGTGAATCCCAGGCAGCTGGTTTAGCTTACTGACTTATTTAGCCGAAAATTTGTGCATTAATCTCATCATTCAAAGGTATCTGTAACGAACGCATGCTAGGCGTAGTAGAGCAGCAACACAGCTGTAAAGCAGTGTCAAGTATGGTTTCTTTCGGCGTTCATGGCAATGGATCTACAGAAAAAAATGCTGGGACTTTTTAAAACTATTTGGGCGTCCGTGTTATTGTCGAAAGATTTCGATAGTTCTCAGGAGTTATTAGGGACCGAAATATCTATCTGTGCACCCGTAAAACATTCGCCGGCAATCTTCTGTATATTATTAGTTGATGCCTGCCGATATTAAACCTAGTTGAATGATGTCTGTAAGTGACAGTTAATTACTTTGGCGTATCATTGAAAATACCGGAAGGGAGGAAGCCCCGAAGAACATTTATGGGGTATTCGGTTCAGCGGAAACTGGAACGAAACCGCGAATCTAAAAGTTTTGGCGGACTTTTCTAATGCAGTCCTTTTCAATAAAACCTTCATCCAAGTTGCTTCCTTATATACAGGTCGCAGTTATCATTTTCATTTAGAAACTGTTTTATCTTTGAGGTTAGCATGCTCGCGCAGTCGCATAACAATGTCTTCAAATGCTTGCTTAGTGCTTATCGGCAACGATTCAGTCGAAGGCAAATTGGCGACAGATGCGCTGGTTCCTACTTGATTTGCGACAGTTCTTTTATACCATGGTTACACATTCCAGGCTTCCTTCGAGCGCTTCTATTTGCTATTCCGAAGTATGGTCGATATTCCTCTCCAGTGGCACCCAGCCGCTTATGCGTCTACTTTGCCATACTTTCACGGAACCCCAATGCATTGGAAAAACACGTAAAGTAGACTCAAAACCACACCAAATGCCTTACGATTATCCTTTCCGTACACTTACTTTTTACGCAGTGTTTCATCCTCCCAGCATCCTCTTGTGCATGTCATGAACATTTTCTGACAAAATTCACCTGATTTTACTTACGCACGACAGACGATTTTTCCGTTTTAGATGCTTTTGCTGGACACATCACGGGTCGTTTAATAAAGTCTGACACGCGATTGTCAATGCTTCACTTAAAATTATATGAGAAAAATATTTTGTTTTATATTCATAAGTACGGGGTATTGCCCTGTCGTCAGCCAGTATAGCCATCTAATCGATATCTTCATTTATATGCGAGAAATGCTAGTTTATTTTGCACCCCACAAAGCCTTCGTGTATTACACAAATTCTCATGAATTAAACTAATTTAAGGGTTGCCGACTCTCGTAAGTCATCTAAGACATGGCCAGTGTTTTAAAGCATTGCCCACAGTCGTCTTCACTGGCCTCACTCAGTCCTTTACTAGCCTCGATTAAATCATACAGACTAGATAGTGCCATATCGGACATCTATGAGGTAATCTATACTAGGAGGCAGAACACACATTGAGACCAACACCGAAATTTGCATTAAATTAGTCAAAAACTGTACCCTAGAAAGACTGGTGTTGAAAAAATAAAAACGGACTTGCTTTTCATCCTAATATGCAAAATGGCAACACTTAGACCCCGATAAAAACCAATAATCGTCTACTCGTGTATTTTAGATTACTAGCAAATTAGATCAAATGCTTTTGACTTGTCTTGGCTTCTACATGAAATTCAAACATTTCTTGAATGCCGAAGTAATAGTTTCATTGACCACCCCGTTGATCGGTGAATTCGATCATTGAGATGCCGCATGAGTGACTCGTGATTAGATTGTAAAGTCATGGATAAATATTTTTGTACGGTTAAGGTTTCTGATAGTTTTTCCATGGAGGCTATATGGTTTGGGTATACTGGAGGTACAAATGCGCAGTTACACCGTCAGTCTTGTAAAATATATAGTAAGTTTAGACTATATAAATGCTTTACTTCCCCTTCCTACCAGCATCAGCCTCGGCTGGCCGTGCCTTGTCGCCGTGGCAATAGGAGGATATGAAGAGGCCAGACGAGGCTCTCTGGCGTGGCTAGTCCGTGATATTAGACACGATAGTCAGGTTTGGCCGCAGCATCCGAAGAAATGCGCGGCGGCGCTCCCCATTTCCCCTTAGTTCCTCCACCTTTTTTGGCTTCGGTTTTGCACTCGCGAGTGCATTCATTCTAAACTATCGGCTACCGCAGTACCTTTACATGTGTCATTGAATCCTCTCAGCCTCGGCTAGTGCAAATCAGCGATAACCACTCCACGTAAATGTACACAGCATAGAAAAGTGTGCAGACAAGGGTTAGAAACGACGATTTATTAGCGTTTGCAAGTGAGGACAATCAGTGCGAAAAATACAGGCAAGGTTATAGTTCACAACGGGACACTAAAAGGCTTCTAGACCACTTCCACCGGTTATCGGCGGCTCCTGCAAAAAAGGTCCGTCGTAAAACATAGGTAGTGTTATTGCCATGGAAGTAATTAATGATGTTAATAACGGGGGAAATGCAGTCCCTAGATGGCGTATCAAAAATAGGCTCCGATCGGCGGAGGCCAGGTGATGGTCTGGCATTCAAAGTAGTGAACTCGTCCGCCCCTCCTCAGACAGTGATAAGTCGTGCGCACAGTTGGTCCAGTAGAACACGCCCAAGACCCAAATGGACATAGCTGCCCTTGTTCAGGGGCCTGCGAAAGGAAAGTTCGAGTCGTTTGTAATGTCGTCTACGGATCTTTGGAAAACTCTGAGTGGTATGGCCGCAGCATGCGAAACAACTTCTTTGTTTTGGATAGTGGCATTTGGGCCTACAGGATGAATCCCCGTAAATCTGACAGATAGCACCTGCCTGTTACTGCGCCCTCACTTATTTCTACGAGTTCTGAACTTTCTAGTAAGCAATGCAGTAAGATGCCTACCCGTATAAACTTTTGGGACAAGTTCGGGCATTTATAATTCCAGTGGTTGGCCTACCACCGACGACGTATGGGGGGAGCGGAGGGATCCCGCGTCCGCGCGTAATATGCCTTCTTGTCCCACGCAATCGGCTTGTCGATTGTACTCCGATGAAAACCCTTATACTGCCTGGGTGAATTAACGTATATTTAGGCAAACGCGGAACATGTAAACGCAAAAGATACCGTTTAAGCGACTGAAATACCTCCTGAAATTCTTCAAAATAGGGCGTGGACATGTCCACGTCCACGTCCATCCTCTGCTTGGCCACACCCACAAGGCGAGGCTATGTGTTGGCAGGACTGCAACATTGTGAGGGAGTTTGGCATTTTCAGGCATTTTGGTAGATTCCGAAGCAAAAAAGTAGGCTTTTTTGTTTGGTACTGCAGTTTTTGCGAAAACTCAGTCTTATGAATAAAGTACAGAGACCACCTTTGAGAGCAGCTTTCGGTGCGCAGTCGAAAAAAAAAGTTTAAGTGTATTATGGTCACTCTATCCAGTGAGCTTCGAAGACGTATTTGAAGGACAAGAACTGCCTTCCATGTCTTTGCAACAGTCTGTATGCACTGTTTCGTCTTTGTGATGTGGCGCACACTGTGCTGGAGTCGACATTTAGAGCGATATCATTAAATGAGGTAATGTTTACGCTCCGTTTCAAAACTAAGCGTCGGTTGCTCACAGGAAAGTCAAAGCTTAACAAAGCTGTCGTAAAGTGACTTTTTGGTTAATCTAATCGGCACCGCGTGTCGGACCTTCTTGAATAGAAGCATGCTCAGTGAAGCCTTAATATCACAAATCGTGTCTTCACGGGAGGCAGTTGTTCGAAATTAGCAGATTCAGGATGTCAGCCTAGATTGGACGGAGCAGTGGGCTTAGTACGGATAATTGAGGGGCATAAACATGGACCGTTAAGTTAGATAATATGACAACCCTAATAAGCATGCAAAATTGTTAGACACCTAGCAATACTAAAGGAATCCTGAATAACATCTGTCATACTACGCTAAATGTTTGTGGCGTTTACAGGATGTAGCGTTTCGAATCGAAACTTACTTCACTTTAGACTTGAAACCCCTAGACAGGCGGTACAGACTATTTGCAGTTAAATTACTTGATAACGGAACGATCGTAGAAATCAAAATTAACCGGAAGATCATAAGTGATTAGTACATATCGGCAGAAAGAAGGTATCGGGGCCATCGTCTGAAAGAAGAGCGCCGAACTCGAATACCGGCGATTACAACCTTGCCAGATGTAAATTCGATCGGGGTAGGAGAAATAGTTTCGAGGACGTAAGCTCCGAATCCCTTCGGTGTGCTACGCCAGGTTGGTTTGGTCTTTTGTTGGCAACGAGATCATAAGATGAATAAGTACGGTACGACAAAAATGGGCAATTGTGAATTTGTGATCTGAGATGTTGGCTAAATTAAAGAGACAGGGCTAGAAACGACGATGTATAGATGGGTAATTTGCGTTTATCTCAAGGGCTTTAAGCAAACTCTGCGGGGTGCGAATGCGTGTCCTACGTGATATTTATTTTCAGAAAGCCAAGGTTCTCAATGGGACTTTGGAAAATTTGAAGGTTCACAGTACTAAATCACAGTCCGCAGTTCTAACTGGCATCCAAGGACTAAGAATGTTAAAAAGGGATTCCTAAGCGCAAATATCGCGGAAGGTCAGGACCGTGGTTAATGTGGGAAATTTCACCTGTAAATAACTGACTCTTCCCTGCCTTTTAACAGGGAATGTACAAAAGAATAAAACGGAATTATAGTCGCTACTGTGTGGGAGCAATATAATCATGACCCGGAAGTCACTTGGTCCTCTCTGGTTAGCTTGCCGTGTGAACATATTGGGTGCTACTCTGGAACTATTTTCTTTCGTCTGCACGCTGTCTTTACTGCCTGATCTGCTGGGGTGTCTCTGTCAAACGGGACATTTCGACTCTTGCTGGTGACCACTAGAATTTCTCATGATCGCGAAAGATAATTCATTTCTGACTTTATAGGTCCAAACTCCCCAACATATGAGGAGAATGGTGATTGTAAAGGGATCTGCGAGGACGTAAAACCCATGCCATGTACGGATCTGATTAGAAGAAATCATGGAAAAGGGAGTAGGATAGGGCTGGAAAGTTAATCAGGGTGGAACTGCTTACGTCAATAAGATTCGTGAGTAATAAATGTAAGGAACAGGAAACGGCTAAGCAACTATTAAAAAGCGCGATAAAATGTATTAAGGTGTACAACCGACAGCCATAAAAAACCATCCAAGCACAATGACAAACTCTCAAAAACAATAAATCAAAATGCCGCGAAATCTAACAAAAAAGTCGGAAAATTCGAGAAGAGGAAGAAACTTTTCGCGCGAAAAATATGTCATTACCATATCCTTATGCCCAAATCTATATAAAGACATAAAGTTTGATGTCCGATGTTGCCTGCATCTAACCCAGCACCTCCAAGCAATTCCTTCAAACCGGCTTCATGCGTTTATGACGCGCCGCCAGGAGATCATCCACCAGTCGTGGAGTTGTACTTGGTAGATTGACCTGAATTTCGTGTTTCATCAACTCTATAGTCGATTTGGAGGAACTGCTTACCAATCGATGTTTTTTTCCCCGGAACACAAAATTTTAAGCACGAAGTTTATCATGAGCTCTCAAAAATGAATAAGAAACATTATTGACTTCGAAAATCGGGACCATTTTATTTTAAATTTGCGTTATCCCTATTTCGTGCTTCAGGGCCAGTTACCCCCGAATTTAGATTCTATATTGGTGCTCACACGTCGCCCTATAGAAGCTTAAAGGCGATTTCTTGGACGAGGTTCAGAATAATTAGATGCAATCTTTGAAACGAGAAGTTTGTTGACCTGTTGCTTTGGGTTTTTCGCACGGTCTTATCATCGGAGACAGTGGTAGAGAAGGGTTATATAAAACTCAGGACAAGGCGACCACACAGAAGTTAAGATGGCCGCGCGGACACAGCCCGGTGACGAGTTCGCTCGACAAGGAAAAAAAAGAGCCGCCAGCCGGGTCAACTCCGACAGGGGCTCAGTTACCCCCCAGGATGGATTGGTGACTCGCAACACGCGCAGCTTAACCCCCTCTTCCGTCCCAACATTTCCCGAAAGTCTGAGGCAGGGAGGGCAGAGATAAAAATCATTCAGCATGTGGCCAACCAGCGCAACATGTCACTTCTAGTTCTGCTTTTTGACAGCGATGAGCAGATAAAGCTCTCCGAAATCTCAGCATTCTAATAGACCTGTCCCGGTGGGCCAATCTTGTTTCTCAAAAGCGTTATTTAGCCGAAAGCGGTGTATTATTTATAGGAAGCGACTGTCATGTCAGCACACATCTATCATGAATGGCAGTGCACGCATTTATTAGCGGGAAACGTATTTGGTGCGACGACTGTTTGTTTGTCCTCATTTGGGTCATCAAGTGCTTCAATTACATTGTCTTTCATGCTGCCTGCCAGAGGCTTTGTGAGGAAAGATAATCAGCGATACAAGCGAAGACGCGAGTTCCAGAAACTACATGATAAGAAGAAAAATAGAAAGAAGAATTAGTGATCGCTGGAACAAGGGCTTTATTCGCCCGACATTTTGGATTCTCACTTGAACCCATCAGAGACAGTGGCAGAAACTGGTGATGGGTTCAGGAGAGAATCCGAAACGTCAGGCGGATAAAGCCCTTTTTCCAGCGACCGATTCCTTTTCTTCTTCTTCTTCTTCTTCTTCTTCTTCTTCTTCTTTTTCATCTCCTTCTTCTTCTCCCTCTACTTTTTCTTCTTCCTCGTCGTCTTTTTCTTCTTCTGCTTCTGCTTCTTCTTCTTCTTCTTCTTCTTCTTCTTCTTCTTCTTCTTCTTCTGCTTCTTCTTCTCCCTCTTCTTCTTCTTCTTCTTCTTCTTCTTCTTAGTAATTATCATGGGAAATAAAAGAGTGTGAAGTTGTCCCGCAATTAGCTAAGTGAGTTGATAGTATGCTTTGTTTTAACCGACAACTGCTCCGCTTTTTTGCGGCCCGGTTCGTGTTTTAGTGTCTTGTAGTACAAGAATAAGCCGCTTCTTGTCTGCCCTGCTCGCACATGATTTTGTCTTAAGGACAGGGCAAACGGGGTGGTCAACAACATGGCCCCGTTCAATAGATCGTTTGTCTTCCAATTTTAACACAAATGGCCAATAATCTTGCAATTTTAGCAGTAAAGATGTAGTGGACATGTTCCATATGCAGACCACCCTACAAGAATAGTCACACAGTAGAATTTCCTCCGGCGACTTGTTTTTGGAAGACAGGGGTGGGATACCAGTAGATGATCCCGTCCACCTGCGTCATGCGAAAGCAACTAACGGGAAGGCGCCGACATGTGCGATTGTTTCTTCGAGGCAATCTACGCGAAGAATGTACCCGCGCTAACTGGGATGTGATCATGGGGGCTGAAATCTAAAGGCGGACGACTCCATGGCCAGAAGGGTGGTAACTGCCACCACCTTCACTTCTCCTGATCCGCAACTGCGAAGCAATGCCTCGGATTTTTTTGGAATCCTGGCATCCGATAGAATAGTCGGGAGATTTTTTACACTACGAATATTATCCAGCTTAAGTGTATGCAGTATAAATTGAATATCTGTAATGATAACTGTCGATAATTTCAACTTTTAGGATTCTATAAAGGGAGGGAACGACTTAACTGACGTTGCCTTTGACAAGAATACAATGTTCTGCGCAGACCAACGATTATAAGCAGAGTCGCTAGCTTGCTCCGACGCCACAGTCTCTTGTTGTTAGCAAACATGTAGTGGACACTGCGAAACTGAACGATAGCTTTTTATATCCACTCATAAGGGTCCCCTCTAGCATACGTCTTCGTCCTATGAGCCGGGCTAAACTGAGACGGATGGGGTCCGAGTTCAATCCAAGGTCGTTCTCCTTCTATTTTTAGCACAAATGAATGATAATGTTGCGTGTTTTGGCTGTACACATATCGTGGGCGACGCCCCTTGCGTTGATCATCCTATAGAAGCAATCGCACAGATGAACCGCGCCACCTCATTTGTTTTCGAGGACTGAGATAGACTGGGCCACCTGTTGAAATCCCAGCTGTTGGCCCCGCCGTTTGTTCGAGAGGTGGACAGAGCCGTGCGCATTCCTTAGTACTTCAGTTAATATATAGATAACTGCGTGATAGAAGACGTCGGCTTACGACTGAAAAGGGGGTACAAACTGAAATTTGCCCAACGCAGGCGTAAAGAATCAAAAAACCGATCCCTTCTGAAGTAATCCTGTCATGCAGGGCTCTACGTTGAGACTACAAACCCTACACAAGTCGGTTTTTCAAAATATTGATTTCTTAAATAAGGAGCTGGTACACGCGTTCTCATCTATGAGTAAACGAAGTAGGGGTTCGATGACGGGAATCACCATCAAAGCCTTAATGTGGTGGGTCTACTCTAGATTTCAGCCAGCAAGACTGGTAGGCGGGCATGAGCACAATTACACTTGTAAAAGAGTTAGGTTATTGTTTTTTTTATTAAAGACACGTCGGGGTCCCGTCAAAGCAAGTAAAAATAAATTTACTTACGAATTTTAGACGAGGTAGGCAGAATCTGTACAAAATGCAATTCAAAGATCCTGAATTTTTAGTCCGTTGATAAAGATAATGAACGATCAGTGAAAAAAACCACTTAAATATTTAAAAATGATTGGATTAATTTCACAGGAGAAAAAACCCTCGCTAATAATAACACCAAAATGCGGGCAGGACTGGCCTGCATGTGGCGGTATATAACGGATTATAATCGGACATCGTCAGGGCAGAAATAAATGTCAGCCTTGAGGGGTACGTATGCGGGTCGGACAGGAATAGTCTGCATGTGGTACTGTATACGGGATCCAGAACGGACATCGTCAGGGCAGGATTGATACGCCGGATGAGACTATTCGCGTCGAAGAGGCCAGACGAGAGGAACCCAGATGCGATCGACCAGAGTCCGCTTCGAGCCCAGTCTAGGAGTGGGGAAGGGAGGTACGACAAAACTACTAGTAGAAGGCGAATACAGAGGGGTCCGCCATGAGCGTCGAGAGACAACTTGAAGTCTTGTGGTGGGGCAAGAGTTCAAGAGTGGACGTTTGAGATAGCGCTAGGAAGAACGCGAAGTTTGGATGTTGCATGATTGGCCAGTTTGACACAGGCGCTGTATGTTTCCTCGAGCGGTTTCATCTTGCCACCGGTACCTCTCCCCAGCACCCCGTGTCCAACACATGCGTTGATCTGTTCTGAGCGCAAGACTTGCACGTTAATGTCTCAAAACTCATTAGCTCTCGCTTCGTCATCGTACACGCAAATGACGATATATGCCTACCACAATGTCACCCAGGATTCAGTTTCATCACTATTTATTCCGTATCCTAGTCTGTTAAGTCACCCACACGTGCAAATAAGTATATTTCTGTTGGTCCGCAGAATATTTGTGTATTTTGGTACACGGAGTCCCTAGGACACCTGCTTATAATTTTTTTAACAAACTGAAGAAATAAAAGTGATTCAGGGTAGCGGAAACTGTTGCAGGGCTATCGGAGAAGATTATCAGGTATGAACTTATGCGGAACAACGAAGTCGAACTGCCTCACACGTTAGAGAATGATACAAACTTTAACACTACAAAAGTAGCAGATTTTTTGGAAATTTGTGGTGTCAGATATCTGATTGCCAAGTTCCCTTGGTTCCAGGAGATATTTTTCGACCCGAGTTTTGGAAAATGATGAGAAGGTTATCTGCATAGAATGCAAGTATTTATCTTGTGTTCAGATCGCACACACGTCTGTGAGCTCTTATCAATCCCTACTCCCGCCTCGCCTACCGACAGGCTGCTCCAAATTCGCCACACTAAGGCACGTGGTACTAAAGACTGGAAGCTGAAATAAGGTCCTGAAGTAACCAAATGGCCATTTGACAATCAAAAGTGTGGAGAGTTAAAAAATAAAAGCACGACTGGCTTAAAGGTAATAGGAATCTGAGCCTAATATTGTTCATTCTTAGTATTTCCAATGCCAATCACCTGTTAGTGTAAAAACTCCTTCAGCTGCCCAATATTACCTGCAAGTATCGCCTGAAGCTAAAACGAAGTTGACGAGACGTAAGGGAAAACCGCAGCACTCTTCTCACGAAGAACACATGCATCACATCCATGCAGAGCTTGCGTTTATAACAAAGAGTTGGGTATGTGGGTTGTCTTGACTGCCGCTTGGTGATGCATTCGGGACAACTTTAAACAGCTGCCGCATATCCGACTGTTGTTTAACCATCTGTTTCGCCCTGATTCTACCGCTCTATCAGACACTTGCAAGGTTGTTCGGCCTAGATTGCAGTCTTTTTTCATAACAGAAATATACTGGACACAAAATCTTGACTGACAGTAGGAGCTACAATTACTCTGCAGTGGCTAAAAGTCCTAAGTCGGCGACATGAATAACTACCATAAGCATATGCAGTATCGATTTATGCCCTCCACTCTAAACGATAAGTGAATGTCAGTTGTGCTAGGTTAGGGTGTAGCGGCCTCTCGCCTAAGTAGGAAATTTTTCTCGTGTCAGCTCTTTTGCGAAACATTCTAAATGAGAAAAATATCAGCAATGAAGCAATCTGCATTTCCCGGGAAGGACGTGGATCCGAACTTTCGATGTTTCCATGCCATCACATTAAGCATTCGCTAATACAAAGATAATTGGTAACTGGAGAGCTCGGAGTGCTTTGTCCTAAAAAGCATGTAGCATGTCATATTAAGGCAGTGTGAGCTTTCTAATATCCCATCTCCCTATTATTTGTTAACGCTTAATGAGTTATGAATGCACCAAAGAATCGGACCCAAGGCCAGCGCGAGAACGATCAAATTGTCTCCGTTTCTTATTTATTATAAAAACAAAAAACAGGTTATTCGACACGCACACAGGCATCTGATAGTGCAGAGTTTCATCTCAATTCATTTTTTGATGGCACTTATCACGTGAAATAAGGGAAGGAAACCGAGAGTCTTTAAAATCATGTACATCCCCAGAATGCCTTTGAATTTACCGTAAAATGACTGATTGCTCCAAGTAATTAGTAATAATTTAATTGTAAAATAAACGAGTGTAAAGATGGATGGATTAATACCTCCATCACCAGCAGTAGATCATAAAGGGAATTGACGCAAAATGACCTAGCGTAATCTACACCAAATCTGTTCCTTCGAGCAAAATTATTCCGCATCGTGAGTGGCAAATCTCATGAAATGTTGGTTGACATTCTGAAGTGCGTTTTTGACTAGGAAGGATTACTTACGTGGGGATGTAATATTTATTATCATGCGGCATAATCCTATAATATTTTGAACTCCTCAGGATGTCTGCTTTCGACTGCACTTTTTTTGACGTGTAGAAACCGCACTCGGTAAAAATGGCTACTTAAGTAGCACGGATGTTTCACATTGATTTTCGATGGTCTTATATATTCAAATATATGTCATAGAAAGCATGCACATGATATGCCTTCTTTTACTCGTTTGACAGAAAATTACGTAGCCTTCACACTTTATACCCGAAGAAAGGGTATATTTGGGTTTTGAGAAGTTTCCCAATTCCCAATAATTTCGAGCTTGATCAGCCGTTACACTGTCTTTTAACGATTTCAGTCCGTAAGGGTCCATGCTTTCTGAGTGAAGAAAATCGTACATTCCTCCATGCCTTTAAAAAGATACTGTATAGAGTTAGTAAAATTTTGCAATGGATGCAGACTATGTCGTATATTTCATGAGAAGCGTTGGAAAACGGACAGGTACGATGCTGTGTGAATGGACATCGCACAGTCCTAAAAATCTCATAATTGAAAACTTTTTCAAAACCTAAATATACCCTTTCTTCGGGCATAAAATGTGAAGACTACGTAGTTTTC